ATTCCTGCTTCTCACTCTCCATACAGTATGAACACAAGAATCATTCTAGATGCCTGGCTTCAGGCCTCTAGTCATCATGGGATCAACCTTGGCTTCCATCACAAGCTCCAAAATGGGAAAGAAAGAACGAAAGGAAGGTGGGGTGTGGAATAACCACTGTTTCTCTCTGTTCTGCGTGTGGGAGGAGAAGGTGGTGACAAAAATCTAACCACAAACTGCTTGGTTGCTTCTGGTAAGGATTCATCCCTGCAGAAAAGGTGACTGCTGTTCAGCCCAGCAGGGTTCCCACTTACAGCGTTTTACTTTAACGTAGGAGAGTTCATTCTTCATTGAGAATAACTGGGTTGTAATTGTATATGCAACCCTCCCATTTATAATCTCTCCTGTTTTGATAACTGCAGTTACGATGATCAGAAAGACAAGAAGTATCTGCCATTCCCTTCAATTATACCTGTGAGGATGAAATACTGCAGAGCACATACAGAGGAGCACAGTTAGGGTGGCCTAAACACCATTATCTGTCACATCAGGCCTCTACAGAAACAAATTCAGTTCCCTGTAGGTTTATTTCAGCTTTTCATATACCTAACATTAAATGCAAAAAAAAAAAAAAAAAAAAAGGTCCATGCAGTTTACTAAGAGGGGATCTTTCATTTCAAATGCTGCTCTATTCTCAGTGTCCATGGACAGAGAAGGGCAACAGTATTCTTCAGGCATGGGAAATTCTTTGGTATCTTGAGACAGGCTTTTTTCCTCCAGAAATTACATGCAAAACACTGTCCACTCAGTTCCTGCCTTCCATTTTTGTAATGGCGACATGTGGTACATGCTACACATGCACTCCTTCAAAGCAGAGAGCTTTGAAATTCCTTGGATGCAATTCAATTTGTACTGAAGTGGAAAATCCTTTCTCCTCTGCTATCAAGAGCTACTTTATGAAAAGGTCATCAGATCCTAAGTCATTAGTCATTGGCAGCTTTATTTACAGAATGAATTGTGCACCTTGTGCTAGTTTCCATACTCTAATTTTTAAGGTTTTTTTAAAGTATTCCGACTGCCATGATCTGAATACAACTCCAAGTTCAGTATTGAGGGGGATGATGACCAATAGCTCTTAGGACCTGCAATTCTTTCAGACCTTTTAAGAATCTCCCAGAACATTGTTGAGTGAATAAATATGGTTAGCCCCATTTTACCAGAGAGAAAACAGATGGTACATCTAGGCCATGCAGCACAGTGACTCTTTACAAGGGATCCAAGAGTCAGACTCACAGCCTTTGCAGATGAGCTCTGTGAATCTTGGTGGAGCAGCTGAAAGAGTTCCTGACTCCTCCAATGGAAATAATTTCTGGCAGAGGCACAGTGTGTTTATGCAAACTGGAGGAGGAAAAAGAGATGAGAACGGCCAGTTTGTCTGTGCATCAGCTGTCACAGCTCATCTAACCTGGCATCTTAGCAAAAATCCACCATAATCTATGATGTAAATCTTTAACTGCAGGCGTTAACTGCAGTGGCAAGTTACAGTCAAACCACTCTGCTGCCTTTCCTGTGAAAACAGTAGCCTCTGACAGCAGGGCCCAATGGACAGAAGGTTGAGTTGGAAATGAGAAAATACCATTACAGCTGCTCCAGCAAGATTTGGCACAGTTCATTCCTTGAATATTCATGTAAGGTTCCATTTGTCTGAATTCAAACTAAAGTAAAACAGACTCCAGACCAAAATTTCATTGGAATCACTCATGCAGATACATTCATTTGAAAACAGTGAGGACCACTGTCTTTCTCATAAAACAAACAGCAGTCCCCAGAATCAGAAGACCCACATCACTATTTGACATTTTTGGGGTTTTCTCCACCTGAGAAGTATATTGAATCATTTCATCCTTACAATTTGACACCATCACAAGCTTTGTCATGCCTTTTTTTTCTAAGGGTTGTTATAGTTCTAAGACAGCGTTGAAGGATGGGAAGCTTCCACCATTCACATGCGCTTAGAATCAATTTATAGCATTGATTTGCAGTTCACAAGTCTTGGTTCAAAAAGGTAATGAAGGGCTCTGACCAAGTAGTCTCATAATATCCTAAAATAAGTCTAGCTGCATGTTAATTATAGAATCATAGAATAGTTTGGGTTGGAAGGGACCTTTAGAGATCATCTAGTCCAACCCCCCTGCAGGGAGCAGGGACATCTTCAACTAGATCAGGTTGCTCAGAGCCCCATCCAATCTGACCTTGAATTTTGTTTCCATGGATGAGGCATCTGCCACCTCTCTGGGCAACCTGTTCCAGTGTTTCACCACCCTCACTGTAAAAAATTTCTTCCTTACATCTAGTCTGAATCTACCCTCTTTTAGTTTAAAACCATTACCCCTTGTCCTATTGCAACAGGCCCTGCTAAAAAGTTTGTCCCCATCTTTCTTATAAGCCCCCTTTAAGTACTGAAAGGCCACAATAAGGTCTCCCCAGAGCCTTCTCTTCTCCAGGCTGAACAACCCCAACTCTCTCAGGCTGTCCTCACAAGAGAGGTGTTCCATCCCTCTGATCATTTTTGTGGCCCTCCTCTGGACCCGCTCCAACAGGTCTATGTCTTTCCTGTGCTGAGGGCTCCAGAGCTGGATGCAGTACTCCAGGTGGACATACTTATGAAAGAGACAAATTCCTGGCCATTCTATTATCATGTCAGATAGATGAAATGAAGTACAGCAGAAAATGACACTGCACTTTGACAGTCTTGTGCCTTTTTCTTCTCAATGCAATTTTCCTTCCTACTTCAACACTTCAAAAATCCAGCGGTGAAATGATCCTAAATTCTAGGGATTATTACTCCAGAACAAGTACACGTCCACTTTCCTTATATTAGCTTTAAGACAATTAAACTTTCTGTTAAAAAATGGATTTATATTAAAAAAGATGAAGAATATCAAGGCCAATTAGAGTCCAATGTGCCAACAGTTCTCAAAGGCAGACACTTATATAGTGAGGACTGAAATGAGGTCTGAGAAAAAGTGATCCACCAATAGATGGCAATAGCCGTTCATTAGCCATCTATGGGAGCATTAAAATCAGCTAGTAGCAGCAGAGGTTTTGCAAGCATCAGGCTCGAGTGCCAGAGCGGATGCAGGGTCTGCCCTCAGTACATCTAAGAGGGAATAACAAAGACCATGTTCCACAGTCAATAGCACAAGTAGGGGCAAACCGGACCCAGGATTCTCATGGTAGCTCAAGACACGATGCGCTTACACCAGGGTTTGGGAAAAGGAGCAGCATGACAAAATTGCAAATGTTGTACTAGCTAAAGCACTCCCTGCTCCCAAAGAACCTTCAGCTGCTGATTAAGGACACCTTCCAGATCCTTAGGGGACTACGGAAAAGACCTTTCATGTGGGGCAGGATCTCGCTTATGACTTCTACTCTAAGGCATTCACAATGCAAACTCCTGTGAAATCAGGGTGCTCTTCCTTCCTTACCTCCAGAGAACACTTTCGTATTGCCACTGTTGAAAGCCAGACAGAAGATATTAGAGTGATGCTCCCCTTTCAGCTGAACTGGTTTGACTCTTGAGTGGATGGCTTCTTCCATATGCCAAAGTAAGACCCGGCGGTCATCCCCTCCTAGAAGGAAGAAAGGAAATGTTCATTACTGCCCAAGCCATGTGTTAATTGATGACAAACAAGTTATTTTAACTCTGCAGTTATGCATAAAAGGCTTCGATGAAACCCTAATTAGCATAAAAAATGTTATACTTCACAAGGGTTTGGAAACACAGACACGCATTTACATTAAGATGCCATGCAGTCAGGTATTCAATTAATATTAACAAAAACAGAG